TACTACCCAAGACTGGAGAGGTGCAGGCAATGAAAGCTATTCTAATTTTCATTTTCACTAACAGCATGTGTTCTCTCCAATACTTTTTAGTCTTTTCTACATATCCGTCCTCATAGGTATGAAATGATGTCTCACTGTGCTTTTAATTTGAAATTAGATGTTAATCAGTCATGCTGATTTTTTTCTTTTTCATATACCTATTGGTCACACATCTTCCCTCCCTCCCTCCCTTCCTCCTTCTTTCTCTCTCAAGGTCAAAGTCTCTTTATGTAGCCCAGGCTAACCTCAAACTCAGCAATCCTTCTGCCTCAGCCTTCTTAAGTGCTGTGATTACATGTATGCACCACAGCTGTCTTCTATTGGGAAATGCCTGTTCAGTTCCTTTATCCATCCCTTCAGATTTTAGTAGCATAATAGCAATAGCATTTTCCTTTCTTTTTTTTTTTTTTTCTTTTTTTTGCTGAGATCTCACTAGAAGCATTTGTAACAGCCACATGTCTACCAACAGTCAGGCAAATGATACATTTTGCTTCACTTGTGAATCGGTTAAGACACTTTCTACTAAAGTGTGTGTTACTTTCCTGTCACAAATCACCACAAACTTAGTGATGGGTAAAGAGCCTCTCAGAACAAAGAGAAAGAAGCTAAGTAGCATAATCAGTACTGACATGTGCATACACGATTCTGTAATGACCCTGTAAGGCAGACCACCCCAATAGAATGTATGTTACCACGTAAGGGAAACAAAGGTGCTAAAACATGGAGGGAGAACTCAGGGAGTTTATGAAAGGCCCATGGATGTTGTTACTGGAGTTCTTAGGGTCAAAACCTGGGCCCTGGCAGTCCCAATAAGTAGATGCAGCCACCTCTCCCCAGAAGCCCAGTTAAAGAGACAATAGTGAAAAGAAAGAAGAAAAAAAGCAGAGAAAGAAGGATTTCTTCATTGTGACATGGGAAGAGGAAAAAGTAGAGAGGAATAATGACCCCCAGGGCCATCTTTGGGGTACTGAGCTGAGGTTTAGTCTTACATAGAGGGCAAGGGTTGTTCTTACCAAGAAGTCCAGATCAATGTCTGGCTGCAACCACCACTGACTCATTACTGTCTCAATTTGGGTCTGTCAAGCACGCTGTCAGTACCGTGTGACATCTCTACCCGGGGGGTCGAGTTCTTCGTGTGGATAACAGCTGGCCCTCAGCCTTTCTGTTCCCCCAGTGTAGGACTCTGGGGGAGACTTTAATTCTTTGGTATCTATCGGTTGCATCTTTAGAGCATCTCCTTCTGGGGCAGTGACAGTGTTCCCAATACTGCGGTCATGTGTGGACACGGTGGGACCCCCAGGGGCATTGCAGTGGGAACAATGGACCCAGTCAGTATACAGAAAGACACATGTTCATCTTTACATAGGCTCTCTCTTGTGTCACCAACTGCTAGAACTATCTTCTGACGCAGATGAAGGTAGGCTTTCTGGTAATAAAAACAGAGCCTCAGGAGGACTTTAAGTTAGGGCCAGTAGTCATCATGAAAGCTCAAGATTAAAGCCACAGCCAGCCTGGATCTGGGGTTTCCTCAAGCATTAGGCAGTACGAGGCAAAACGTGCACAAAAAAATGTAAACAAAGGAAACCTACAGCAAATCTATCACCAAGAAGCCAGGTGGTCCATATGTGTTAACTCCAGCCCTTGGGACACTGAAGCAGAAGAATTGCCATGGGTTTGAGGCCAGCCTGGGCTACATCCTATGTTACAGTCTACCCAAGGTGACAGAGTAGGATCCTGCTAATAAAGAAATACGACTAAATAAGTAAATAAATAAATAAACACCACTCTTCCCGGTGTCAACATGTGTAGTTAGTGCATATGAAGAACAGAAATAAACACAAAAATTATGTCAAGTGACCTTTTATAAATTTATGCTGACATTTGTAACTAGGAAAATACATCACTGTGAGGTTCAGTCGTCTTAAAACTGAGAATGGGAGAAGGCTAAAGAACTTAGAGATGTGCACTAAGAGGAACGCCTTCTGCTCAGCTGCCCCAAGGCCCCGGAGGGTGGTATGTCTGAATCAGGTGTCTGTGACCAGACCCTGGCTTCTGAGAGGAATGCAGAAATTCCAGATAACAAAAAGTGGACCTTTCAAGAGTTCACTCCATCCAGATCCTATTTCTCAGAGGCAGAGAAGGCCCTTTTTGTGAACTTGGAAGGGGCAGAGCAGGTGTCCAAGGCTGGATAACAGAGAGCTTAGAACTGGACAGGAGGGCTTTCTCAGAAACGGAAGCTGGCAGCAAAAACCAGGTATGTGTGTGTGTGTGGGGGGGGGGGGTGGATGTGAGAGGAAGCAGCTGGAAAGTACAAGTCTCACCCACTTCAAGGATTTTGGAAGAACATTTTGGCTCTTATCTTATTAAAACTTCACAGTAATCCATTTTTAGAATAGGCAGGGAGAGACTATTGCAAGTGTCTGCAGAGAAGGAGACTGAAGGCCAGGCCATTCCTGACGTAGGGCCTAAAGCTTCCTCTCTGATAACTTTCCGATATGAATGTGTGTACCTCATTTTATTTCTCTGTTAAGGTTCTCTTTCCCAGGGGCCAGAGCAAGGGGCAGAGCCTGAGATATTTCCCACCAACATGGCTTCATAGTTTACAAACTCAACTTTTTTTTTTTTGTTTGTAAGTTGGTGAAATTTAAAGGGTCAGAACAAATGATGGCCGTCCTGAGGCAGAACAGAAAGATGAGAAGATTAAAGGAGGACATGAGAAGAGTAAGAAGTCCTTACCTTTTGGCTGCAGTTTGCCTGTCCTGGTGCCAGAAAGGCAAGAAACCGCAACACAACAGATCAAGCCAAAATTGCCTTCGGAGGTAATTTGCATTTTCCTAAAAAATGTCTCAAAGAAGGATGTTAAGAACAACCATTGAAGGCTGGAGCACACAGGCTGCTCTTCCAGAGGCCCTGAGTTCAATTCCCAGCAACCATATGATGGCTCTTACCCATCTGTGATGAAGTCTGATTCTGTCTTCTGGTCTGCATGAAAACAGAGCACTCATATACATAAAAAAAAATAAATAAATGAATTTTAAAAAACAAACAAACAAATAAACAAACAAACAAAACAACCATTGAGTCATGTTTTACTTAGGGCCAGAATGTTTATAACTCGGAGCTTTACTGTGTTAGCTCTTCTCCTTCATCCTAAATATAAACAGTAAGTCTCACCAAACAGTGTTGTAATTTTATTTTTTAAAGGAGGGAGGGAGAATTCTTTAAGAAAGGTGGGTCTGGAAAGATGGCTTAGCAGTTAAAAGCACTGGCTGCCCTTCTAGAGGTTTGATATTTAGCAGCCATATGGTAGCCCACAACTGTCTGTAACCCCGGTTCCAGGGGATCCAATGTCCTCTTCTGGCCTCTGCAGACACCAGGCATGCATGTGCTGTGCATACATACATTCAGACAAAACATTAATACACATAAAATGAAGGGAGGAAGGATCGAAGAGAGGGAGGGAGGGAGGGAGGGAGGGAGGAAGGAGAAAGAAGGAAGGAGGGAAGGCAAGTTGGTTGTGTGTTGGTTACTTTTATGTCAACTTTGACACAGGCTAGAGTCATCAGAGTGGAGAGAACCTCAACTGGGAAAATGCCTCCATAAGATTGGCCTATAGGAAAGCCTGTAGGGCACTTTCTTAATTTTAGTGGTTGATGGGGGAGGGCCCAGCCCATTGTGGCTGGTTCCATTCCAGGACTGGGGCTCCTGGGTTCTATTTGAAAGCAGGCTGAGCCAGCCATGAGAACCAAGCCAGTAAGCACCACCCCTCCATGGCCTCTGTATCAGCTTCTGCCTCCAAGTTCCTGTCCTGTTTGAGTTTCTGTCCTGATTTTCTTCGTTGGTAAACAGCGATGTGGAAGTGTAAGCCAAATAAACTCTTTCCTACCCGAGTTACTTTGGTTCCAGCAATAGTAACCCTGACTAAGACAATGAGGCTGAGAGTGTGTAGTAGCTCAGTTTGTAGACACTCGCTTTATATAAAGGAAGCCCTGGCCTTAATACCCAACATCACAGAGCACCAGGTGTGATGGCAAACGCCTATAGGAACACCAGCGTGAAGATCCGATGTTCAAGGTCGTCATCAGCTGCATTATCAGTGAGAGGCCAGCCTGGGATGCAAGGAAACCTTGCCTTAAAAAAAAATTCAAACCAGGGATGGCACGATAACGCCATTTGTACAGGTGTCACCTTGCAAGCCTGAGGACCTGTGTTTAATCTCTGGAGCCCATGCAAGGAAGAAGAGAACCAGCCACACAGAGTTGCCCTGTGACCTCCCGTGCTCACTCACATGCCATATGCAAAATACTAAGTTAACATTTAAATCTTTACAAAATAGCCAGCTCACGCATTTTCAACTTTTAAATCTTACTTAAATTCTGAACATCACTTACTCTTGCTGTAACTTACAAGCTTTGAGAATTGCCCTAAAAAACTACAGCAGTTTGTGCAGCAACGTTTTGGACTTGTGCACTGCCCTTCCCTGTGTGACTCTTTGTCTAAATACCTTTGTTAGGTCTGGTACTGAAATTCTTTTCTGCCACACAGGCAAGGATCTGGCTTTACCTGAGCAGAGGTTCTCTAAGGGGGAAGGGAGTTCCCCAGGCTGAGTGCCTGTCTCTTGGGCAAATCGCTGCTGACAACTTGGGTCAATGCTCTCCACACTTTAGTTTGCATGCAAATCTCACGGATATTTTGTGAACAGGTAGGTTGTGACCCCGTGGCATGAGTTACTCCAGTCCCTATGGGAAGAGAGGCACAGCATCTCACCTTCATTTCGCCGTCATCTGTCAGAAACGTGTGCCTACCCCAGCCTCCTGTATCAGGAGGAGAAGAGAGGAGAGGTGGAGAGTGAAAGCAGCTCTGTGATTGGCTGTGCATCTTCAACTGGTGCCTGCTGGGAATACTCAAAAGGGATTACAGTTCCTGAGGTTCAAGACTCACCCACCAGTCCGTGGACAGCCATGGCCCAGAAGTTCTGGGCTTCCTGTTTCTTCCCACTGTTTTTCGCTGCCTTGGCTCAGGAGACTCTGAATCCTCAGAAGTCGAAGGTAAGCAATCCCGCAGGGGACCAAAGCTGGTTTCAACATCTGATCAGTAACTTGGCTACCATGAGTTTCAGGGGTCAACCTGTTCTTGATGGGGGAGAGCTGCCTGATGGTCTTTCTTTGCAGACTTCTGCCACTGATGCCCTCTGCCGCGGCAGCTCTCCTGCCTCTGTTCATTGTGCTTTATCCTGTTTTCCATGCATCTTCTCTGCTTCTCTGCACCTAGTGGATCTTTGAACAGAATGTAGCCCGCTGGCCTCTCCCACCCCTTCCCAGCTGCCCTTTCCAGTCCTCATTGATGGCTGCTTGACAACCCAGAACCTGCTCTGTCCCATGCTGATCTGTAACTTGGAGCAGCCACCATGAGTTCTAGAAAACAGTGGTTAGGTAGCAAGTGCCATTGAGAGGGAGGCCAATGTTCTCAGACCAATCGAACTAAACTAAGAGAAAATGAGTAGAGAAGTGGGTGCCGGACTGGGCTCCAAAGCCCCAGGTTAGAGACAAAGGGATTTTTTTCTTCAGTGACTACCAAGACACAGAGACTGAATTCTGGGATTGGGGTGAGTTGATGTGGGAGGTGAAAACAGGGCTCAGCTCAGTATAAGGATGTCTCCTCAGATCTTAGTGCTGTTCCAAAGAGCTGGACAATCGCCACACTGTGGGGCAGTAGCCAAAAATGTTCACAGGGGCCAGGGGGGAGGGAATGGTATTAAAGACTGTTCATATGGGGAGTCAGTAGCCATCCCTGTAAAAAAATGCATGCAAACATCTTAGAAGACAGAGTAGGGCTAACGCAGATGACTTGACGGACCGATACATTCTAACTTTGAAATCAGAGAAACTCATTGAACACCTCTGCCTCACTTGTGGCTTTCATGAGTTAAGTATCTTTTGACAACTCCATCTTCCTTCTGTAAAAGGGGAGGAATAGTCTCACCTCAGAGCACAGCAATTCCCACACCTCAGCTGAACTGAGAATCCACTAGCTATCGGGTCCCACTCCTAGAGCTTTTGATCAAGTATGCCTTCTTGGGAGCCTAAGCATCTTTTAACTGCTCTCATGATCCTTGAGTGCATCCTTAAGTCTGACCGTTGACCTTTGGCCTCTTTTATTGGGCACTCAAAGGGTAAAAATATGTGTAAAATGTCGACTTGCATCTGTAAAGCCATAGGTTATCTATCTGCTACGGAGTGAGGTCACAGCTCACTTGAGCGGGCCCCGTTTATAGGCGCCCAGGTCTATTCACCACCGATGCCTGCTTGGGTGTGGAGTTCCTCAAACAGAAATTCCTCCGTTCTTAGAGTTTTAAGATATTGCATGAAACATCAGGTGCTTTGAAAATGCTGACAGGTGTCGAGGACTTCTGTCTGTCAGGTCAGGCCACCACAGTTACTCGTGTTCTGTTACAGGTAGATTGTAATGAAGGGGTGGCTGGCACCATCTTTGATTATGGAGCCAAGACCTTGGATGGTGGGGAGTACGTCCAGTTCCAGCAATACGCAGGAAAGCACCTTCTTTTTGTCAATGTGGCCTCCTTCTGTGGCCTGACAGCTACTTATCCTGGTAAGAATTCAAGTCTCAACTCTCTTTCAGAACTAGCTTGCCTCATCACCATGCTGTGCCTGCAGAAGGTGTTACTGTGCTACTGGGACTGAGTCATGAGTAAGCACAATGACGCTTTGTGGTGGGCGTGAATGGGAAACCTGAAGCTTCCCATTTGGTCGCATTGAATGCCCAAATTATCTCCATCCTTGAGCGCTAAGGTTTTCCCCAAGATTTGTCGGTCAGCCCTTAAGAACACATCTGTGGCTGAAGAACTTGGCGTTGTTGCCCATCTACCACAGGGAACAAGGAGGCTTCTCATAAAGGGATAAAAAAAAAAATCATGCCATCTGAGCTGGCATCAGGTAGTGTGCGGAAGGATTCAAGGAACTAGGGCTTTGCTCTGGATTAAGCGCTCTCAGGAAATGAAGGGGCAATTATGTGTCTGGTTATCTTAAGAAATCTTATCTATATGGTAAGGGAAGCAGAAAGCCTGGAGCAGTAACTGGAAAAGCAGCAGTCATTCACACTGGCAAGGTGAAATGTGGTCATTTTGTGGTTTAGATACTGTGTGTGTGTGTGTGTGTGTGTGTGTGTATGTTTGTTTGTTCAGACATGACTGTATAGAAGTCTTGAACTGTCATGGTTGGCCATAGTTGTAATTTGATGTTCTCTGGAGTTCATTGATAGAACACTAAAGCCTCCCTGTGACTCCTAGGCCAGAACCTAGAATAGTGAAGGCTGGTTTGCATTAAAGTGAGAGTGAAAATGAGGAGTTACAATTTATGTGCCTGGAGATATAGCTCAGCTGGCAGAGTGTGTACCCAGCATGCACAACGTTCTGGGTTTGGTCCTCAGCATTGCACAACAGTCCACAAACCTGTCATCTCAGCCCTTGTGAGCTGGAGGCAAAAGGATCTGGAGTTCAAAGTCATTCTCAACCATTGGACTACTTCCTAAGACCCTATATCAAAACAAAACCAAAAATCTGGCTTTAAGGAGATTGCTCAGTGCATGAAGTGCTTGTTACACACATATGAAGACCTGGGTTCTGTTCCCTAGAACCTACAGAAACATAGTAGAGGCACATGCCTGGAAGCCTAGAACTGGGCAACGAGAGGAGAGGAGGCAGGTGGATTCTTGGGGCTGCCTGGCCAGCCAGTCTAGGTAAAACAGTGATCCCGCTGTTCAGTGAGAGACTGGATCTCAAAAACAAAACAAAGTAGAAAAAAATAAGGTGGGGATCAATGGAGAAAAAGAGCACACATCTCCCCTGGGCCTCTACACATGTACATGTCATATACACACTCAGCGTCACCGCCACCAGCAACAACAACACAGGAAAGAAGACTGAACGTTTATTTTGGGAGGCACCCTCAAACGACAGAGATGAGGAAGAATGAAGTTTTTAATCCAAGCACCTGTAACTGGCATGGAGGCTGTCTGGAGCCAGTGGTAAATGGGAGACTGCTCCATCTCCTCATTGTGTTTATCACGGAAGGATTTTATCTTCTTGTGGATCCAAATAAGGCCATAGACATTTCTACATGAATTGCACAAGAGAAGGATGTAGTTTTGGAGATGCTAAGAATGTCCAGGATAACTTCAAAAGGTTTATTGAGTCAAACACCACAAATTAATAGACCAAAAATTCTACATATTGACCTTGTTACGTACTTGACTAATCAAAACTATCAGGCCCTGCTTAAACACCATCTTGGAGGTAGGATCTCCCCTCTTAAAGTCATGATCCTTTTACCGCTGCCTCCCAAACACCGGGATGACATGTGTGAACGTCATTATTCTCTGTCAGTTTGTTTTAATGGAACTCTGATAATTACAGATTTCACAAGTTTCTTCTTTCTGCATTCTACACTGCAGTGTCTCATCTAGCACACAAGCCTCATCAAATGTTTGCATTTTGAAGTTGATCATTCAGAGGAGGATGCCGGACCAAGCTGTAGTTATATTAAAATGCCACTTCCTTGCCATCCCTTTTGGAAGATGGAGTCAGGAGTTCAAGGTCATTGTCGCTTACACATTATATTCCAGTTCAGCTTAGGTTACATGAAGCCATGTTTCAGGAAAATAATAATAATAATAAAAGAATAAAACATTACATGATACAAATCGCAGCCAAACAACCAGTTCAGATTTTTCAAGAGAGGCTAAAGACTTGTTTCAATTTAGCGGTGAAATTAGTTTTTGTTTTTGTCTTAAAAAAAAACAAAAAACAAAAAACTTTTTATTGGCTCATTGTGAATTTCATGCACTCCAATCCCACTCATCGCCCCTCCCCCTGCACCCGCCCTCCACCCTTGCAAACATCCCCCCAACAAAGAAGAAAAAGATGTAGTGTGTCACGGTGTGTCCCGCAGTACATCCTTTGGTTCACACTTCTTCATTTGCAAGTGTTCACTGCAATCACTCAGTCTGGTACAAGGCCTCTGGCTTCTGCTAATCTATGATACTGGAACCTCGCTGAGGCCCCTCTGGGCTATCCTGTTGTTGCCCTGTGTCATGAAGATCCTGTGGTTTTGGATCTGTAGGACCAGCTCCTCATGCACTCCAGCAGTTCATCAATGGGGTAGATGTTGGGGTGGACCAGTTCAAAGCCTGAGAGATATCTGAGCTGGCCAGCTCTCCTGCTCCCCCTTTTCACTAGCAACCTTCCCCCAGCTCTACTGTGTTGCCTACTGAGGTTGCGGGACCTGCTGTCCCAGGTGTTGCAGCCTGGAGGGACGTGGCTGGTTCTCTCACTCTCATGACCATGGGGCCAGCTCTACTGCCTGCTAGAGATGGCAAGGCCAAAAGGGAGAAGAGGCGATCTCTGCCTTGCCAACACCACCACACAGCAAACAAGGGGCAGGGTTGACTCTCCCTCTTGTCAGCTCACCTGCGACCCTCACACCCAGGACCAGCTTTACCTTGCTGCCTAGGTGAGGTGCGGGGGCCGCTCTCCCTAGTGCTGCTGCTGGTGGGAGGCAGGAACATCTCTCCTGCTCTCCTAAACCCAAGGCCAGGTCTCCCACTGCAGAAGGTGAGGGGCGAGGTGGGAGGAGGACATCTTTCCCTCATCCATGGACCCAGACATGGCCCCTGGTGGCAGCACAGGCCAGGATTCCACCATGGTCCCAGGTGGCATCACCAGCTACTCATATCAGGCTGTCCCTCACTACCCTTGAGCCTCCAGTTCTGCCTCTTTTCATTTTGCCCCCATCCTTCTCCACCACTTACTTGCTCCTCTTAGTGGTACCTGGGATCTCTGAGTGTCTGGGGTCTCAGGAGTGCTAATGCCCTGCTTGTTCATTATGGTGCCAGGCAGGGGTCATCTCGAGCATGGTCTGTCCCACCGGGCCTGTGCAGCCCCTGGCCGTCATCTCAGGCTAGCTTCCTCTCTGGGCCCCATGGTGCTGGTCTGGTGGTCGTCTCAGGCTTGCTCCTTGCCTGCTACATGCTAAGGCTGTCTGCTTAGGGTTTACCCCTGCCTGGGGGCCCAGGCAAGGTTCTTTCAAGTCTCTGGCTTGCTCCTTGTCTTGGGAGCCCAGCCAGACTAGTGATTGTCTCAGACTAGCTCCCTGTCTTGCTCCCAGGTATGGGACTGGTGGGTCTCAGGCTTGCTTTTTTTCAGGGAATGTTAGGTTGCTAACTGCTCTGATGTTTATAGGTCCGAACCCCGAGTCTGTCTCCTCTCTACCACCTACTGACACACTCCTGAAACACTCTAGGGACAGTCTATTTTTGTCTTTTGTTTTTAAATTGAACTGTGTGTGTATGGTCGTTTTGTCTGCATGTATGAATGTTTGTATTATCTGTGTATATGAACCACACCCATGCAGTGCCCATAGAGGCTGGAAAAGGTATTGGATCTACTGGAACTGGAGTTACAGAGAGTTGGGAGCTGCCAAGTGAATACTGGGAAAAGAACCCAAGTCCTCTGGAAGAGCAGTCAGTGCTCCTAACCACTGTATTTTTATGTTCTTATGTGGAACCAACTTTAAGGAAAATCTGAAAAGCTATATATTAAATTTTTAGGAACCCAAGTACCTAAATTTAAGAGCCAAAAAAAGAATTTAGTATCAGTTAACAAATGGGATTTTCTTTCCTTCAAAAAGTTGAAAATATAGTAGATTTGGAAAGTTGCTCTAGTTTAATTTTAGGGCTAAGGGTGTGGCTCAGTGGTAGAATATTTGACTAGCATTTGTGTAAGTCTGAGAGAATTTTTTAAATTTAATTTTAATACGTGCATTAAATAGATAATACATTACAGCATTCAAAAGACACAGAAGGGTTGAACAGGCATTCTGCCCATATTCCCTTTACTTTACGTGACCTGTCATAGTTTATGGTATATATTTCCTGAAATGAATCTCTCTGTGTCTATATGTGTGTGTGAAAAGGAGATAGATGTACACACACACACACACACACACACACACACACACACACACTATTTTCACCTTGCTCTTTTACATAACACATTTATTGTTATTCTTTACTAATCTCTGCTTTTTCCTTGCTTTTCTGAGACAAGGGCTCCAGTAGATCAGGTTGGCTTTAAGCTTGTGATTCTCCTGATCCCTCTCCCAAATGCTGGGATTGCAGGTTTCAGCCACAATGCCTGACTACTTCATCTATTTTTAAAGCATGAATTTCCACCATGTTGCTGTAATATTAAACCATTTCTTATAGAGCATTTCACATTTTACTCTAGATGAATAAGTTGAGAGAGCCCAGAGCTTATCAAAGAGACTAAAATTGAGGTCTACCGTATTTCAACATCAGGGAGGAAGCTGAAGATGAGAGGCAGGTGAATGGAGACAGCAACTGAAGAAATTCCTAAGATTTTTGTTTGTTTGTTTGTTTGTTTTTGTTTTTTGAGACAGCGTTTCTCTGTGTAGCTCTGGCTGACCTACAACTGGCTCTGTAGACTAGGCTAGTCTTGAACTCAGAACTCCACCTGCTTCTGCCTCCAAAGATGCTGGGATTAAAAGAGTGTGCCCACCACAGCGCTTCATGAGAATATTTGTATAAAATATTTTTATAGGGGCTGGAGGAGGTGTACCTCAGTTGGCTGAGTACTTGTCTAGCATGTATGAAATCCTAGGTTCAAGCCCCAACACCACATAAACCAGAATGGTGACACAGATCTCTAATCCCATCACTGAAAGGGTGTCGGCAGGACGGTCCGAAGTATCCCTGACTACACAATGAGTCGGAAGGGTCATATATGAAACCCTGTCTCAAAAGTAAAAGTTATTATTCTGAATAAATTATAACATTTATTAAATATGCATTTTCATATAAACCATACAAGAACTATACTAAAACTTGGAGACACGATCTAGGAAGAGGTTCTTAGTGGAGACGGCAGCAAGCAGAGCTTGAGCCTAAGTGAGCCGAGAGGCTGGTTCTGAGGAATGAGTAACTCCAAACTGAAAACTGACTGAAGATAGAGTCATTTGCTCTTGAGATGTGAAGAGAGGTCTATGTGTGGCCGCAGAGCAGAGAATCCTACACAACCAGGTTTGGAGGTTTTTTTTTTTTTTGAAAGGCTGTCTCACTATGGTAGGCCTGGAACTCATTATATGGATCAGGCTGACTTACAACTTATGGCCATGCCCCTGCCTCTGTCTCTCAAGTGCTAGGATTATAGGTGAGCACCACCTTATGCAGCCAGACCCTGGTTTTCTCTTTCCTCCATCACTTTCAATAAGCAACAGCAAAGAGTCTTCTGGGAAAGTGACTTGTAGTGTCGGAGGTGTCATCATGAGACGTGGTGTGGGGACAGGAGGAGAGCATGTCCATTTTGTTTTCCTTAAAAAAAAAAACATCCGGTCAATCAATCCACCAGCTGATAAGGGCAAGGCACTTTGAGCTAGCTTCCTTTCAGAATCAAATAGGATTTTTTCATAAGCCTCATCAGTCTCTGTCCGTTTGCTATAGGTAAATTCTGTGTGTGCAAGGTGAAGAGCAATGAGACTTGGGAAAATCTGGGCCACACACCCAGCAGCCATTGAGAGTAGTTCCCAGAGATCTGTGTTATAGCTCTTTGCTCTGCCTACTTAATGTCTGTAGCCTTTCACAGTCCTCGGGGGATTCATGTGACAAGAGGATAAATTTAGTGGTCCTCCACACCTCGAGTCTCAATCGGGAAGCCTACTCACGCTGTTCACCCTCTGCATACAGAACTGAACAAGCTGCAGGAGGAGCTGAAGCAGTTCGATGTCATCGTTTTGGGCTTCCCTTGCAACCAGTTTGGAAAACAAGAACCCGGAAAGAACTCAGAGATCCTTCTTGGACTCAAGTGAGTGCTATGTGGCCCCCTGGAGATGCCCCTTCCTCATCTGCCTAGATACCTTCCCATTCTAGAATCTTCTAGGGTAGGTGATAGAATGATGGGCTGATGAATGTCATCGTGACGCCTTGGGTTCCATCTTGCCCTGCAGTCAATGCCCAAGTACTCTGCACACTTGGCTTCTTTGAGGGTGAGGATAGGGAAGACCTAAGAAGAAGACATTCAGGGGAAAGAAGGAAATACGGGAAAATGAGATGGACCAGGGAATCTGAGGTCAACATATCCCCTCTCTAAGGTCTCGGAATTCTTCAATTCCATGAAGCCCCCTGCTTGGGATCTTGATCCCAAGGACCCCTCTTGTTCCTCGCTCTTTCTTCAGTCTTTTCCATCCCTTTGTGAGGACCCTTGGCGGCCATTCCTATCCCTCCTTGACTTAATTTGGATTCTCTTGAGGACACCTTGTTTCACCGCAGATATGTGCGTCCAGGAGGTGGCTATGCCCCCAACTTCCAGCTCTTTGAGAAGGGCGATGTGAACGGAGAAAATGAACAGCCGTTTTATTCTTTCTTAAAGGTGAGTGAACCAACATGGATCTCCCAGACAGGATTCTCTGGAAAGAGTGGGGTTGGTGACTACGATGAGACTGGACTCCTTGAAAGGGAGGAAGTTCATGGAAATTAGGTGTTAGCGTCAAGCAGAGGAAAGATACACGAGAACTCTGACATGGACTAACCTCCCCCGCTGAACACTAATGATTTGTTTATTTGATAATCACTAATCAAATTCTGACTTTATTCAAGGAGTTGTGAAATACAGGTTAACTCTTATTAACAGGCTAGTCTTGGATCCAAAGGATCTGTTATGAAGTCAGGAGATGACATAGATCTATTATGAAGTCAGGAGATGACATAGACATAGATAAGGGAGAGTGCCAACAGTTGAGAATCACAGAGTACTGCAACCACAGAACACAGGAAAGAAGGTCCTTCCCCACAAGGATTACTTCGTCACTTGTCCTCAGAGAATGGCCTGCGGAACAAAGCTGTCCCTGTGGATATATTCGCTCACCCACAGCAAACTGAAACAAAAGATCAACTTACTGAATATAAGAGGCAATTATTTATTCTAATAATAAGTGATGCTGAGGCTACACCACATGAACTGCTTTTTGTAGCACAAAAGATGACCATGGCGAAACACGGTGTCTCGGATTTACAATGCCAGAACTCAGGAAGCAGAGCAGGATGACTGAGTGCTCATTCCTCTAGACGGTCCTCTCCAGTGCTCACTTCCTCTAGATGGTCCTCTCCAGGCTAGCCACACCCACGTAACATGGGGCCCCATCTCAAAACAAAGATAGTTCCCTACAGAGCTGTTCAATATTTGAGAGTCCTATCCGGTGTGGTGGCTCATGCCTGGAATCCCAGTACTTGGGACACGCAGTTCACAGTCAGCTTGAAGCACACTGAGTTTCAGACCAGCTTGGGCTCTTGAGTGAAACTATATATATATATATATATTTATTTTTAATAAAACATCATGATGAAACCAATCGGCTAGAGAGAGGCAGGAAAGTAGGTGCTTTTCATGGACAGTCATACGTTCTCACCTGGTTAGAACAGCCTTGGAGTGATATCACACACTGGTATGTCTGTGATTGGCCGGACACAGGTGAAGTTTTAAATGTTACGATGTACAGTGGTGGGCAGAGGAGACTGAACAACGGAGAAGCAGAAATGAGATTACCTTTCTATTTTCCGTATCTCTGCTCCAGAACGCCTGCCCTCCCACCTCTGAACTTTTGGGCTCTCCAGAGTATCTCTTCTGGCAACCCATGAAGGTCCATGACATCCGCTGGAACTTCGAGAAGTTCCTGGTGGGGTCTGACGGAGTCCCTGTCATGCGCTGGTTCCACAAGACTCCTGTCAGAACTGTGCAGTCAGACATCATGGAGTACCTAAACCAAACCCGTGCCCCGTAGGGCATGCCGTACAAATAGTCCCTTTGCTCTGCTCCCTCACCAGCCTTCATATGGCCAAAGCATGCAGCGCTACCCGTATCCCTATTAATGCACGTGTGAACAGCTCTAGGTGAACTTACACAAAGTTTATTTGTGGTAGGCATATACATGCTTTGAAAATTAAGTCAAGGAAAAACTGTCTACCCAAGTATCGGACTCTGAGATATCAAGTTTTCCTAATCTATTCCAAAAGAAAATCATATTTTAGAGTTGATGACCCAGACAATCCCATGTATATAAAAAGTGACCCTCAAAGATCCTGATCACTTCCCTGGTGGGACGTAGGAACAGGTGGCCAGATCCTCCGGGTTCCCTTCCCAGCCTCTTCTCCTCTCAATCTGGGCATGCTTTGTCAAGTCATTTTTCTGTTTAGCGCCCTCCTTGGTGCCACACCGTCCTGTACTATTCTCAGGGGATTCTGAAGATGGGGCATAGAAACCTCCCTCATGAAGGGAGGGGCCATCTCCACCATGGTAGGTTCCAGGCTCCTCCTGGGTCACGCCCTACCTGAGTCTCCCTGGATGCCTTCTGTGAGTTCATTCATATCTGGCACACACGTCCTTCACACCAAATGCTGTACTTTGCTCCCACCCAAACCTTCCCAACTTTACGTCCATTCCTATTATTACTGTCTCAAATAATAAAGAATCTAATCAATAATAAAAGAACCTGCAGCAGCTGGACTCTGGGTGATGTTTTTCAGTGCATATTATGTGCTTTCCTGACCTCCCTCTTACATCGTCAACATTCTGGTTTTCTCACAAGTGTTCTAGAATCTTCCTTGGTGCCATTGAAAGAATCAGGTTGGATACAGACACGTTGCTGCTCAGATCTAAAGCACGGACATATGTATGTAGCCCAGGCTGTCCTTGATTTGCCAATCCTCCAGCCTCAGCATTTCAAGTAGCTAGGATTACAGGTCCTGCAGAGTTCCTAGGCTTTTTAGAGCCAGACCTCTCTGTGCCTTTTATTCTGATCATTTAGCCAAGCCTATTAAGCCCCTACAAAAGGGGACGTACTGCTTTGGAAAGAATCTCCTTCTCTCATTCTGTTTTAAAAATCAATTCATACTTAAAGTTAAAATTTGGAAGCACATAAACACAGAACAAGCCGTCAAAAAGCAACAAAACCTGTTGTTGTTCAGAGGTGCCATGACCCTCTGGGAAGCCCGGCTGTCAACTGTCAGCAGGCTAAAGTATTTTGTTCTATCCAGACGGAACATTTCAGTAGCAGAAATAGCTCTTCCGGTGTCTGTAGCTCTGGTCCTTGAGTGTCACAGGGTTATGGTCCAGTGGCTGGCTCTAGGGCTTGTCAGAGCTGTAGTCTAGAGGACCATAAGCTATGGCTATGCGCTCCACAGTGCAGTGACTTCCTGTTGCAGGTGTTTAGAGTGGGGACTTTTTACCCCGTGATTCGCTTGCCAGCAGTCTGGCACTTGGGAGCAGTTGCCATCTTCGGCTCTTATCCGGAGCTGGTGGGTGGTAGCAGTCGGTACAGCTAGTGCTGAAGGTTGGAGGCCTTAGGAACTGGGATCTCACAGCGAGTGTGTCAACCTTTGAGTCATGGCTGGTCAAGCCCCGTGGTTCTTACAGCAGCCAGTGTTACAACATCTGGGCCTGGGAATCTGGTGCACTTGACTCTTAAGGCTTGGAAGCTTTATGAAACTCTTCTAGCGAAGAGCGCCTGTACTTAAGCCTTCAGCCCTTTACAGCCGGTGTGCTCTGTGCCTGAGAATCTGGGAGGTCTCAGTTTTGCTGCTGCTCTGAAAAGGTACAGATTCTGTGCCTCCGGTCAGGAGAAAATAAACACTGTTCTGAGGAACCTGTCTTAGTTATTTTTCTGGCCAATGTGGCCAAATACAAAAGCAACTAAATCGAGGAAGGATTTACTTTGGTTCATAGTTGATGATGCTTCTGACAGCTCTCTGCTGTTTCCATGGCAGCAAAAGCGTGAGCTTAAACTTCAGAGAGCTCAGCGGGATAGGCTGAGCCTTGCGGTGACCTACATCCTGAGGGTACCACAACCTCCCCCAGAAGTCACCATCAGCTGAGGAATAAGTGTTCAAACCCATGAGTCTGTGCTGGACATTTCACATCGAAATTATAACATAGCCAAAGCCAGGGGAAGCAGAAACAGAAGTTTAATTGCTGTGTGAGACGTGAGTGTACATTTGAGTGTACATTGGCCAAACGGTAATGACAATAACAACGATAATGTAAAGGTATTTATAAACGGAACAAAGCAAATTCCATTTTTCTCCTCAGCCAGTACCTATGGCTGATTTCAGTGCTCCAGGAAAACTGTGCACAAAACCCTCTAGAAAGGGGCAAGGTGGCCAGGTGAGGTTCAACGAGGTGGAAACCCCGCAGACACCTGTAGCTGAAGATGGCGGTTCTGCCCGCCCAGTCGCCAGCGGATCCGGCAAGTGAGTCCGCTAGAGATAGCGGTGTTTGCGTTTTATTTATTTATTTATTTTTTTAATGCAACTTCTTGAAGAAGCCAACGACTCGCACAACACACACGCGCGCCACACCTACACATTTACCTACTTCGCCACGGATCGTCTTTGTCAGCTACGCTACAGCCGGAAAATATCTGACACCGGGACCTTCTTTCTTCCTGCGTGACGTCTGCAGCCCGACCAGAGAAAACGCAGCATCTTTCCCCAGCTGAGTCTTCTTTGCAAAAAAACAAAAACAAACCGAACCAAATCAAACCAAACCAAAACGAGCATCATCAGACAGTGAAAATAGATCCCCCCGCCCCCAGGTAGAAATAGGATGGGATAGAATCATCTGTCTTTCCCACCTGCTGCCACGTGGCTCCATGGCTTAGCTGGTTAAAGCGCCTGTCTCGTAAACAGGAGATCCTGGGTTCGACTCCCAGTGGGGCCTTTGCGTTTTCACACTTTCCTACCAATAGAACGGAATTGTTAAGAAGTTGTTTAGTTTACGAGACTGTAAACCTGCCTTGGTCCTTCTGTTTTTTTAAAACAACAGTTTTTATGGAGATAAGTCAGATTCAAAGCTTGAGCAAAGAATAATGCACCGACAGGACCTCAGTCACTTTTCCTAAATTTACATTAAATTTACATACATTTACATAGCGAGGTATCTTACTCTAAGGGACAGCCATAATCACAGACACACATGATCTGGACCCTAAACATCTCCAGCACAATCAGCCGTTATAAAGGAAAACCAGCGTGTTTGTAGGGCCTGCCCTCTCCCCTGCCGGGTTGTAGGAGGGAAACCCAGGGCTTCAAACACGCTAGGCAGACTCTGGACCGCGGAGTGACCCAGACGGCTCCGCCTTTGGCATTTTGAGGAGGACACTAGGAAGAACACCTGAGTGAATCCTCTCGAGGAAATAACCAGGAAAGCGTTACAGACGGTAGACTGGAAGTTAAAGTTTGCTAGACCCAAGTATGCCTAGAGCAAGGATGGCAAGGCAGGGAGCAAAGAGCAGGTTGGAACACTGCGCCAAACATCTTGGAGCTGAGTCCCCCCCCACCCCCACCCCGAGCGCCTTATAAAAGGTCTGCGCCGCCTCATCTCCCATTGTCCCATCCACTAACTCAACAAACATTCACTGCTTGTCTCTTCTGTGGGAGGCGTGCTCCCAAAGTGAGGAAACAGAGCTGTGAACAAAGCTAACGGACACTCCCGGGAATCTTCCGTGCCCGTGTACGCACAAAAATGAATATACACAGTAAGCAACTGTGGTGTCTACTCATGAGGTCTGGGGTGAGGAGATGGACTAAACAAAAAATATGTGCGGAGTGGGCCAGTACTCACAGAGTATCGTGTCAAATAAAATCACTGGCAAGTGTTTTTACACATTTATTTTTGTATGTGTGCATGTGCGCGCATGTGGGTACAGGGATCCCGGTCAGAGGACAACTTGTGGGAGGGAGTCAGCTCCCTCACGCTGTGAACTCTGGGGACCCAACCATGTCATCAGGTGGCTGGTGCCTGTACCCCTTGAGCCATCTCACTGGCCCTATGTTTAAAATTTTTCTACTCAGTGGACTCCACAGTATTACCAGTATATCGCCATAACTACCCTAAGGAGCAGCATAAAATAATCAGAAAACCGCCTTTAGCTGTGCCTGGATCTCACGTCTGTCCATTTTGATGGGGACCCTGTTGAAACACATCCAGTCTTCATTCTCAGCCCTCAACTGCTGCACACGCTGGCTACGGCGCCTCTGACAATTTACTCTAGCTCGACAGGCAGCAGTTACAAGCTCACCTAGTAGAGCTACCTGGACTATGAAGTCCAGAGCAAATGAAGTCTCTGACATGGATATCTGACACATGAGCAATGGTCAGTTAAGTCAGTTAAGCTCTGTATGTGCGGAGATCATTATTCTAATTTTTAAAATAATTGTTTGTGGCAGATGCTTACCCCCCCCACACACACACACACTTTTTTTCTTGTCTCTTTTCATTCATTTTTAGGCAGTGTTTGTCTGTGGAGCCCTGGCTGTCCTGGAACTCACTCTGGCTGGCTTTAAAGTCAGAGATCCACCTGCATCTGCCTCCTCGTGCTGGGATTGAAAGTGTGCACCACCACTGCCCGGTTGGTCTTGTTTTATTTTAAATGTGTGAATAAACATTCTAAACGTGTTTTGATGAACTGTGTCCCTCTCTCCCAAAACACGTGTTAAATCTCTAATCCCCTGCATATCGCATTAATGTAACTTTATTTGGAAGTAAGTTTTTCTGCAGAAGTAATCAGCTTTTGCGGTTTTGCTTTATTATGTTTTGTTGGGGAATAGAGTCTCTTAGAGGCCAGGCTGCCTTGAACCCTGATCCTGCTGCCTTCACCTCCCAAGGGGGTCCTGCTTCACCTTAGCAGGAGGAGCTCAGTTTGGGTGATGATCTTACAGTATTAAGGTAGGACACAGTCCTGTGACTGGAGCTTTTGCAAGTGTGAGGAAGATTCAGATTGAGGGA